TGATCTCATGACCCTGAGATCATGACCTGATGCTGAACCAGCTGAGCCCCCCAGATGCCCCTAGGTTCTTTGTTTGTTTTTTCTAGAAAGTGCATGTCAAGGTACATGAAAAATGCTTCAAAGCAAGAAGCATGTTTTTTTCTTGTAATTATCAAAATGTGGGTTTTTTGTTTTTTGTTTTTTTTTTTGAGTATGGGAAAGTCATAGTTCACATAATCCCATGAGGAAAAACCAGAGGATGATGAGAAAAATGCAACTTCATTAGTTGTATCACAGGCTAACATAGTAGAGGAAAAAGAGAAAAGATATATGGCAAATGGAGGCAAACATGCTTTGTTCCTGTTGTATTAAGAGTTAGTTGATTGGAATATTGATGGTCTAAAAATACTAGTCATCACCTTTGGCAAGATGCCTTCTTGTTTCATTTTGGGGGCTCATTTTAATTTTCTTATATAGTTATGAACAGAAAAGGCATTCACTTTTTTTCCTGTGTCCTTATTGTTCAAAAAGTGACATATTAGAGCTTTTCATCTTAGATTCCAGTTTCTTAGAGGATAAATTATTAACAAAATAATTGCTCAGGATATAAGCATCTTACCTTTTGTAATCTGTAAGCTGTACTTTGCTAAAGAGGCTTATCAGAGTCAAAGCATTCCTTAACCTCATTTCTACAGATAAAAGTGTCTCCACAAAATAAAATTTGACTTCTTTTTTCTGCAATCACTTCAGTAATGTAAAACTGATGTTTTATCAGTTTTATTCCTAATTGTGTTGTCTTATATTCTGTTCATAAATAAACAAAAATCACAAAAGAACCATGGCTAACTTTGAGAAATTAAATTGAGTAACTTTATAAAAATTTTAGTGTAATTTTTGTTGTATAAATTAATTTTACAGTGAGCATGTGTTTTATTATAATTAGAAAATACATACTAGAGAGGAAAATGACATATGAAATTTTTGTTTGTTTGTTTTGTTCTCATTTTGAGTGGGAAAAAGACAGGATTATTTTTTGCCAGTAAGAATTATTTCATTTTGCAAGTCACTTCCGTGAAGTGTTGAGCATGATTTACAATCTTTGTGATTCTTGAAAGAGGGGGGGAAAGATAGAATGTCTATACACATCTAAAATACCAGTATCATTTAGAAACAAGAGACTCCTATCTGATGTAAAATGCAGCTTGATCTATAATTATTGAAAGGATAATAAAAAAAAAAGAAAAAATGTATTTTAGAAAGTATATATGTTTATTGTGAAGATTGGAGAATTTTAGAAACCTTTAAAATAGATTATAGTAATTCTCCCATATTGCTGAATTCATTATGTTTTTGAGTCCAAATCCCAGTAGATGAAGGCTCTGCTTGTTCTTGGGACCACCGTCTCTACACACCTGTCTTCTGGTTTACCTAGGCCAGAGACCCTCTCTAGATTACATACCCAGTCCCATCCTTTTGTGTCAGCTAGGATCCTACTAACTGCAACTAGTTATCTTTCTAGTAAAAAGCACTACATTAAAAAAAAAATCTCTTTGCTTCCAATCCAACTCCTAATGGTATTAGATTCCCATTTTCTATGGTCCGTGGCTAATGTTGGAGTTTCCCCTTGATTTCTTCCCCTTTGTTTTATTCAGTGCTCCTTACCCTATCTTTTTTAATTTATTCCACAAAACTCTCACACTCTTGGTCCTTGCTTATAATCTGGTTTGATGTAGTCTTATTTTAATGCTGGGAAAGTACCTCATTACCTCAGGATGAAGTATTTTCCTGAGAGTAAGAATCCCTTCTTATGAGATAGATTTGTACATGCTTTCCTAACTACTCACTTCCTGAGTTTCTAAAGTGCCATCCTTGCATCTTGTACTTCGCTTCAGTAGGAAATGTTGCCATATGTCATTTTTTAAAAAAGGTTTACTTGTTTGAGAGAGAGTGTGCACAAATGCGATGGGGGCAAGAGGGGAGAATCCTCAAGCACACTCTCCCCACGCAGAGCCCAGTGCTGGGCTGGATCTCATGAGCCATGAGATCACAATCTGAGCCAAAACTAAGAGTCAGACACTTAACTGACTGAGCCAACCTGACGTCCCTCCATGTGTCATTTATTTTAGAGTAATTTTCAGCTTTGATAGACAATGCTAATATCCCAAAAATCACAAATAAAAAAGATGCATATTTTCATTTCTTTAAGACTGGGGATATATACCCTCTAGTGAGCTATCCAGTATTTTCTCCAGTGTCCGTAGCTTTTAAATGTTATATTTATTTTAATGCCCCATTCAATTGATTTTCATTATGCTGTCTAGTAAATTTTCCCTATTTCCTTTTTTTTTTTTTTTTTAATTAGCTTCCCTCTCTTTTTATGAAGTAGATCATGGCTCTTTAATCCCAACCAAACAAAACATTTCAATGAAAACTTCTCAGCTGTCTATTCAGAACTCTCTTGTTTTTCTCTATCATGCTTAATTTTTTAGGAACTATTTCTTATATTTATTACACCTAAGGAGGCCAACTACGTATCCCTTGAATTCAATAAAAAGAAAATATACACATAGGGACCTGGAGAAAATGTATGAATCGTTTACTTATTCTGAAATATATGGATAAGTTCACATTCAGAACAACCTTTCAGCTAACCCTGCTTTCTAAGTTCATATATATTTTACTTTTCTTGGGTTCATTAGCAGACTATTCCCACCTGGTGTTCTTTTGGGTTAAAATTACTTCTCCCTACTAAGACAAACGACAAATTACCTGATGTGATTGCAAATATAACTAAATTTCCTACTTATTTTTTAACCTAAACTAAAAATGCTACATTACACACACATACCCCCTCAGCTCAGTTAGAATAGGAAGCTGTCCATGGATGACTGATTGAAAATCTATTATGGCAAGAATTGTTCAATTCACTTTAATGATATTGAAGATACCCACTCCGCTAAGCATTACAATGGAAGGAACCATGAATAATACATAGTTTAAATTCTGAGAGAACTCTGAATAATTTTTTGCAAGATAAGACGTCTTCGTTATGAAAGGAAGCTGAAAGATTCACTTGGCTTAGGCTGTATTTATTGAAAAGGATGGATCCAGTTGTATTATAAACCTTAATATGGGGGTCTCCCACTCCCGTATTAGGTCATACTGTTGCTCTGTAGATTCACAGGAAGTGTTGCAAGTCTTGACTAGAAACTCATGTAATAGCAAGGCTCGATCTTGCTGTTTAAAAGTTAGAAAAAGTTTTGGTGAAGTTTAACTCCCTGCAGGGAGTCTTCCAGTACCATGACCAAACATATTCTGGGAAAAAACACAATGAGGGGAATGTACTAAGAAAGGGGAATATGCTGTTACTATACCGTGGAATTGAAAAATTGTGGAAAATTGGTCATTTCAACACTGTGAAGATACTCTGAAATGAGGTTTAAGATATTTTGAAATTAGATTTAAGGATTATTAAAGCAAAATTTATCATTTTTTGCATTAATTTATTAATGCAAAATTGTTTCTTGTAAATGCTAGGCTCCTGCAGGATTTTTGTAAATATTCATTCATTATGCATGAGGCAGCTGTGTGAAATTACCTGTAAATGTAACTTCAGAGAGTGATAATCTTTCTTTCAGGAAGTCACCTGCAGGCATTCCTGGGTGGCTCAGTAGGTTAAGCATCTGACTTCAGGTCACATCATGATCTCAGAGTCCTTGGATTGAGCCCCATGAGGGCTCTGAGCTCAACAGTGAGTCTGCCCTTTGCACTCTCCCTCTACCTCTCCCCCAGCTCATTCTTTCTCTCTCTGTCAAATAAATAAAACCTTTAAAAAAAAAAAAAAAAGTCACCTACATAGTTAGATAAGAAAAACACAGAAAAGGACTCATCCAGACAAGTCTCTTTCCTATCAACCTGTGGTGGTTTCTGGAAAATCTACTATGAGTACTAACAGTTGGTATTTATTTAGTATTTTGAAATCTGTATAATACATTGCTTACCATCATACAATTTGATCTTCAAAATAATACTGCAGGTAGGTAGATATGTAGGGAAAGAAAGTAAGCCTTAGAGACCTAAGTCTCTCTGTGAATTATAAGATTCCTAAGTGGCAGAACATTCACTCCACAAAATATGTGTTGTATCCCAAGTATGTGGCAGGGACAATGATAACCACTGTTAAACATTAGGAAAAGAAATTTGGAAGACTGGTTGTAAATATGGCCTGAAAAAACCCATGTGAAATGTCATGTGATTGGCCCTATGCTAGGGAACCCAGGTCGCCTGGCTACTCATGCAGTGTTTTTCTACTGCACCAGTGGCTTATCATTGAAAGTCTTTCCATATGCTATAAAGTTATCTCCCTTTAAAATATTACCATTACCATGGGAGAGTTCCACTTTTAGCCTTTACCTCCTACTAATGGTCTCTTATGAATTAGTTGATGAGTTCCTTCCAAAAGGATAGGCAATGAAAGCAGTCCCGTACAGAAGGAATTATAGAATGAGCATACTTCGGGGCTGGGAAGGGTGGAAGTGTCAGGGAGAGTTCAGAGTCAGGAATGAGAGGCCTTAGTAGAATACAAAAGAGGGGTGGGGTGTTTTTGGAGGGATACTGTCAGCCTTGAGAATCTACTTCCCATCTACTTCACAATTTTGTCAACAACCAGTTTAGCCCAAGGAGATCTATATCATCCTTGGCCTCGTAGAGTCCACAATGTAGCAGGACTTGGGTATTATCAAGTAATTAGAGCTTCTTGCTGCTATGAAAGAAGTTGCACAACAGTAGAACCCAGTCTAATCTGGGAGATTAGGGAGTTCTGTGTGTGCAAATGACTGACTGGGGCCCTAGAAAGCTGAGAGAAGAATAAGTGAGCAGAATTACTGTGCTTACTATCATGGCTTGTCAATAACTAAGAGGCTCTTTCAAAATAGTATTTTCAGGGAGAAGTGATAAAATAATTTTGTGCTGAAATTCTCCAAATCCACTGACTTGGCTGGCATTATAACTTATCTTTACAGAAAATACATGTCTTCAAGAAGACTTTGCAGGCACTGATCTACCCCATGTCCTCCACTACCCCCCACAACTTTGAAGTCTGGACGGCAACAACACCCACCTACTGTTACGAGTGTGAAGGGCTCCTGTGGGGCATTGCTCGTCAAGGAATGAAGTGTTTGGAGTGTGGAGTGAAGTGCCATGAAAAGTGTCAGGACCTCCTAAATGCTGACTGTTTGCAGAGTGAGTACCTGGTTAGGGTCGAGATATATATGCAGAGCCTGCCTCATCCTCCATGTTTTCAGATTAGACCTCTTCAGCTCTTGCTGCTTTTCAGTAATTCCAACCCCCAACCCTCCTATCACACAAAGATTCACAAACCACCCATCAAGTCATATCCTTGACGATCTGTTCCCATAGTGCGGAGCGCTAACTTAGATGCCTTAAAGCAATGGCACACCTGCCCAGTAGAAAACTTGAAAGCAACTTATGATCTGTTTGGTCACTTCCATCTCATAATAGCCCTGTGTGGAAAGTGGGACCCTGTAAAATCATTTTCCTCAGACAAGGGCTAAGGCACACCCTTGTGATTACAGCAATCTGAACTCCTTCCCAAGCCTATTTGGAGTTGGCCTGAAGGAGTCATATTCTTGGAATTGGGAGGTTTTGTGTTTAAATATCGAAGACACATCTAACCATATATATGACCTTGGGCAAGTTTTTTAGCTTCTCACGGCTTCATTTTTCTCCACCAAATGAACAAGAATAATAAAATTTACCTCAGAGGGTTATGAGGAAGACTAAATGAAGTAGTCTCTGCTAAGAGTCTGGCACATAGTAGATACTCAATGAATATTAATGGTTTCCCCCATCCTTTTACACTTCTGAATAGGTACATGTCACTTCGACCTTTATGACAAGTTATCTTAAATTTTCCATTTCCAGGAAAAATTCTTTGTACTGCTGCTTTAGATTAGGTCCAGAAATGCCAAAACATCACCATCTAAAATACATATTACTGTCTTTTCAGTGCTTCATTGATTTGGTTGTGGCTACAACCCTTAAATTACTATAGAAAACAAAACCAAAAACCAAAACAAAACAAAAATACTGCCAATGAAATCTATTTAAACAGGGACTTTCATTTGTAAACCTTTCTTTACGTGTAAACATTGTCCCCTCTGTTTATTGTTCATATGAATACAGTGAATGTGTATCATATCACATGTTACAGTGAATGTGTAACATCCATGGGTTGCCTAAAATTGAGGGGGATCAGAGGAAAATGTCAAAATAAAGATTAAATCATAAATGCTGTCACAGCTGGTTTTGTATTAAGTCATGCACATTCTACAGTTTTCTCTACTTTATTAGTATTCTCCCTACACTATCAGATCACATGGAGGCTACTAATGGTAATGAATGTTTTGTTTTGTTTTGTTTTTCCAAAATGGGTAGTGTCTCTTTGAAAAATAAAAAGTATTTTTTGGAATAACTGCTTAAAAGGAAGGGGGATTGATTCAATACTATGGAGCTAACTTGCATAATCTCATAATCCGATTAGAATTCTACATATTTAAAAAATGAATTGTAAACAGGCATTTTAAGAAATTAGCGTATTAGGGCAGTGACATTTGAAAAAAACAGAAAAATATTGCCATCTAAAAACAAATGGCTTGAATCCATTAAGGAAAAAAAAGTGATGTAGATTATACTTCAGAAATGAGCTGATTCTTCTCTCAGTGTTTTAGAGAATAAAGATGTCACACATTCATTAGACTTTGGAAACATTTTTATATTCTGTTTCTTAAGATACATTGATGGATATTGGCTAAATTAGGCAACATTTTCTTCGAGGTTATTCATTAAAATGCACATATAAATTGAAAGAATCAAAAATAGTTGAGAAAAACGAGGGTAGGTGTGAGTGCCCCAGGAAGAGAGTATTTTCTTTAGTAATACCTTTCTACTGTTTTCCTAAAATCCACCTTGCATTGAACAGAAAGAGGCTTTGCAAATATATGAATTCAACTATACCAATTTGCACAATAGCTATCAGTAAAATTTGAAATTGACTCTACAGAATCAATAATACTTTAAGAAATTTCTCTTTTCATTGCTTTAAGCAAGAAACTTTTAATTGTGACACCCCTTGTGTAAAAGACTTCCACCTATGTCTACAATGGAAGAAAAGGAGAGAATAAGAAAGTGGGAAATCAGTGTGGGAAGTCTAGCTAATGTAGCCAGCCTCCTGCGAAAATGAGGAGGTTCTCTGATTTCTTTCTCAAAATGGTCAGTCTATTTGAACACTTCTAAGAAAAATGTAGACATTGTCAGGAGCTTAATTCATCATTAGAAAATTGCAATGTGTAAATTAACAGCTTGAACAAAGCCCCGCTTCCTAATAACTTATATTCTTTAAACTTCTACCCTTTAATCTTATCACTAGAGAAAATATTTAATAAATGGACTTCCTATGACAGTTTTTCAAATACTTGTCTTTTTCAAATCAGAGTCTTCGGGTTTTTAGAACGTTTATTATTTTGCTAATCTTTTTCTGAAGACTTTGCAGTCTGACAACATAGACACATACAAACAACCACACACAGAATAAAAACAAGAATTGTTCTCTTTATTTCTCCAGAATTTAGCACATGTTGTAGCATAATCAGATGCTTAATAAGTGTTGGTTAAGCAACAAATGAGGGCATGAGAACTGCAGTTCGAAATAACATGTAGTGGTTTAAAGACCATTCTTTTGTAAAATCACAGATTTTTAAGGTAGCCTTTGAGTTCAGTGGATTGGAGAACCCAATCTACTGATTTTACTGAGTTCACATAATCCAGTTTCTTGTCAAAAAGAATCAAAATAGATATCAAAATAGATATCTTACATAAAGTTAGATCCCATATCTCTGAACACCCAGCGTAGTGTTCTGACCTAATTTATAAAGAAATATGCAAAGCTTGTATTAGGGGAAAAAAATGGCAATTTCAGGAATTTTATTTATGGTTCTTTCCCACTCTCCCATGCAGTATCCCTGACTTTTAGGCAAATTATGCTGCCCAGATGTTGGCCTCACATCATGATGATGACTCAAGTCCTGTCCTCTATGGCCAACCCACTGAGCTTGAGTATATCCCTATCACAGTATACCTACTGTATTGACTTTTCAACAACATTAAGGAGAAGATCATCTAATAAGTTAATTTGGGTAAAAATGGAATCAATGGTTGAGTTATTATAATACAATGGCCATTTTCTTAATCTTAAGGAATAAACTAATAAACTAATAATAAATCTTCAGGTTTAGGGTAGGCTGCTGTAGAGGGACAAAAATGATGAGTATGTCATACCTGACACCATACAGGTATTCAACATCAGTAAGCAATGGATATCTTTATATCCATATCTAGATTTCATAGTCCTCAGTTACTTGAGAAAGATCTGGTTGCTAATCCTGCTGCTACTTGAATTTTTCAAAACCTTTCTTTTCTTTTAATACTTTTAATGCCCCTTAGCTAAAGACCACTGAAAACACGTTTATAGTATTTTTATGTAGTATTTGTATATGTAGTATTTTATTATTTCATTTAATTTGAATTTAATTAACATTAGTATATTACTAGTTTCAGAGGTAGAGTCCCGTGATTCATCAGTTGTCTGTAACACCCAGGGCTCATTACATCATGTGCCCTTCTTAATGCCCATCACCCGGTTGCCTCATCCCCCCATCTACCTCCCCTCCACCAACCTCATTTGTTCCCTGTGATTAAGAGTCTGTTATGGTTTGTCTCCCTCTCTGATTTTGTCTTATTTTATTTTCCCTCCCTTCACTATGATCCTTTGTTTTGTTTCTTAAATTCCACAAATGAGTGAAACTGTATAATAATTGGCTTTCTCTGATTGACTTATCTCCCTTAGCATTATACCCTCTAGTCCTTGCAAATGGCAAGATTTAATTTTTTTAATGGCTGAATAATAGTCCATTGTATATATAAACCACATCTTCTTTATTCATTCATCTGTCGATGGACATCTGTACTCTTTGCATAGTTTGGCTATTGTGGACATTGCTGCTATAAGCCTTGGGGTACAGGTGCCCCTTCGATAACTATGTTTGTATCTTTTGGGTAAATACCCAGTAGTGCAATTACTGGGTCATAGTTTAGCTCTATTTTTAACTTTTTGAGGAACCTCCATACTGTTCCAGAGTGGCTGCACCAGCTTGCATTCCTACCAGCAGCATAAGAGGATTCCCCTTTCTTCACATCCTCACCAACACTTGTTATTTCCTGTGTTGTTAATTTTAGCCATTCTGACTGGAGTGAGGTAATGCATCTGTAGTTTTATAAGTTCAGTTTATTATCTATTGCTACAAAGGAGAATATACAGCAGGATAAACCATGGGGCATCTCAGTAAGATGGTGTTAGAAAGCAGAGGTTGGTCTGAAAGTGAGGAAAATTTATGATTGTGTAGGTTAAAGAAATTCTTATCTACCAGGAGGAAGGACAAGAGTGAGGCAAATAGCTGTACTTAGCAAAGAAATAATGGTCACTCATTAGTTAGGAGAGGGGTTGTTTGGTATTTTATGGTTTGTTTTCATTTGTGGTTAGACAAACTTATAAGATGGCCTTGTTTGTCTCATATCAACATGGTCATGGTCACACAGATCATGTGAAGTTGGTGTCCTGTGAGTTTGCTCACGTCCAATAGGAGAACAGTGTGACCTGTTAATGCCAGGCTAGCTTCCAATAACACTGTGAACTAGTCATGTCAGCCCACTTCCATTCAGAGGCTGGTTAAGAAAAGAGAGATAGAAAAAAATCTTGTGCTTAAAATTTTATTTTCTTTTATCTTGTTAAAAAAAAAAAAACCTGTTGTGAAAAGTGATAAGAACAAAAAAGATCTTTCCTCTTTCCATCTCTCCTTTGATTTATTTCCTTACATAGTAAAAATACTTTTGAAATCGAGCACTCTTTTTTCTTTTGTTAAAATTAGTTTTCCCCTCATCTATACAATTTTTGACTCTGAGATAATTGAGAAATTTCAAGGAAGTTAGTATCTAATTTTAGTATATGTGCTGCCAAAGCGAGCACAGAAGTTAGTATCTAAAGAATGCTGTAGCTTTGACAACCAATTTTGAGAATACATTCCTGGTTTCATCATCTTTTAATATGCAAATATTTCTGAACTTGTTCTCAAAGTTTGCATTTACCAATAATGGGATGATTAAATATG